AGCATCATGAACTGATTGTTTCTTTCGGCGAGTGAATTGTTCTGGGGATGTCCTGGAAGCGACTGGTCTAGTGGAATCCGGAGTTCCTTGAGTGCTGATTCAAATTGTGGCGCATCATCCGAGTAAGCGTTGGTGACCTTTCTCTTACCGATATAGTGCTTCATTGCCTGCACCACTTCGTCACTATTGCTTGCTTTCAATGGATAGCCCCATATCATACCAGTGAACCGATCTCGAATCACCAATACATCCTTATCCGGCATGATCCCATCTCTCGCCATCTTCTGAGTGTTCATGAGATCGAAAGTGATAAGGTCACCGAATGCCTTCAATTTCCGTTTGAAAGCTCCCTTGCTAGTCTTGTAGTGCTTCATCTTTGCTCTCACACATGACTTGCAGTATGGGTTCTTGTATCGGTGCGTCATCAAGTGCAATATGGATTTCGCCTCGTTCTTCAGCACTCCTGGTTTTGATAGTCTGGCTTCCCCGTCAACCACATCGACTTCCAATAGTCCCTCTTCATCTTCACCAATGTCACTCTCCTCTCGTTCAGAATCCGCATCACCTCCATGTTCGTCGTCTCCGGCTTCTTCAGGTTGACCATCGTGATCACGATCGAATCTCGGGTCTTCCCCGTCATATTCCTCTTCAGGAGAGTCATCACCGTGTCCCTCTGGTTCTCCTTCGACGCCTGCAACAGCTGGATTGATATCAGATTCACCATTCCGATCTCTCTGGTTATCTTTCTTCTTTCTCCTCCGTCTCCGTGGTTTCTTGGGCGGAAGTTCCTCTTGTTGTGTCTCCTGACCTGCTGTGGCCTCGTCTTCATGCCCCACACCTGACAGTATGCGATGAAGTATCGTAGCCAAGCCGTCTGGTCTTGGTAAGCATCTCCCGTCATCATCATTCACCTTGATGTAGGGTATGTTGTCATGCACCGATAGCGGAATCTTGTTCGCGTTCTGGTCGATGAGGTATGGCAATTGATTTGCCGGCCATATGAATGAGTACCCTTGTTCCATGCACCGTTTCCCGATGGAAAAGACTGATGGTGTGCTCTCCAACACGTGTGCCTCGGACTTCATGGGTAGTTCGTCCACATTGATGTCCACCATCTCTGATGTACTGGTTACACCATTCGCTGTCATGAAGCTCACGGATTTGGGTCCTTCCTTGGTGGTAAGGCCCATGGCATTGACTTTCTCTCTTGAGATCAAATCGTGTCCACATCCCGTGTCCATGATGAAGCGTATTGGTGGTCCATCATACCTCTCCACAGCCATGAACATCGTGTCTCCTGGTATCGTGTAGTTGACAGAATCCTTCCTTACTACCTCGCTGGTGTTGAAATCAGACAGGTCGACGTTCACCTCGATTCCTTCATCTTGAGTGATTTGTATCCATGCCTTGGCAATGTGTTCAGCAGAGAATAGCTCCATCATCTTACCTTTGGCATGTGCTACTCGTGCAGCTATATTGCTCACTCTGAGGGCTCTCAACGACGAAATGAACTCGGTATCCACCTTCTGCACCTCATTCTTCTTCTTCCTGAGGGGACGGATGTTTAGCTCATTACCAGGATCGCAGGTGAACGTGGTCACGTTCGCCTGGTCATCAAATCTGACTTTAAAGCGAAGCGCCAGCTCACCTTGTTGTACGTTAGGAAGTGCGGGTTGTACGTCCTCGTCATCACTCTCGATGTCTCCGCAAAGCATGAAGGCTGGCGCAGCCGGTTTGGGCTTGGCTTTGCCTTTAGCCTCCTGTTTTGTAGCAGGAGCAGCTTGATGCTGACGTCGACATTTGTCCCCGAACTTGCACGATCCTTTCTGCCAATTCCAACAGACCTGATCCTTCATTGGCTTAGGGCTACTGCTCCTGCCACCAGGACTCTTTGATCTGTCACCCTTGAGGCTTTCTGGTTTCTTGGCAGAACTTTTGTGCTTCTCTTGGTGACTAAACTTGCATTTGTCTCCTCTAGAACATCCGTTTTTCCCATGGAAGTGGAAGGCGCATCCTATCTTGGACGTATCCGCTGGAGTCGCTGACCTGCCACGATCCCCTTTTGGGCTCTTCGTGGTTGATCTTCCCCGATCCTGCTTCTTGTCCTTCTTGTTGTGGTCCTTCGGATTAGCCTGAGGAAGTACTGGAGCGGCGTCATGTTTCGGTGGATCGGCCTTGGTATTCTTGGGTTTCGCTTTAGGGTCCTTCTTCTCCGCCGCTGGTGTGGCTTTCACGAGGTTCCCAAAAGCTTTTTCCCTTTCTTTCTTGTTTGTGGTCTCGATCGATTTCCGTATCCACTTCGCCATGATCTCTCGTAACTTCTGGTAGGTCTTATCCGGATCCTTATCCAACATGTTGTCGTACACAGACAAGTCTAACGCCATAACCTTGGAATCCTTAATCTTATCCCAAAGCAGGTTGCGAAGTGCTTTGTCAGGAAGCATGTCATCCGCATCCATACCTGATATGATCTCATCCCACTGTCCAAGGAATCTGGATAGTTGATTATCCCCAGGGAACTTTAGATCGAATAAATGCTTGGATGCATACATCACATCGACGTTGTCGGCACTCCGGAAACTGTCGACGATCAACGCTAACATTTCTCGTCCCTTGACCATCCCAGGAGTTGTGCCTCTCGCACGTCTCTGCATCATCTGCCTCACTTTCAGTTGTACGTCATGAGATCTCTCACCTGCTGCGTGGATGATCGTATGTAGGGTGATACCTAGCTTAGCGTCTATGCTAGCGAATCTTGCTTCGCCTGATGTCTCGAGTAGAAATGGGTCATATGGTGATCTGAAGGCATCCGAGAGCCATTGGATCCAATCTTCTTGTTTCTCGTCGCCCGATGCCGTCACGACTGCCGCTACAACCTGGGATTTCCAAACCTCCAGGTCGTGTATCTTGGGCCATGCAGGGATGTTGATCTTCTCGTGTTCCTTCCGAGATATCTTGGAGCCACCTGAGCTGGAGGATGAAGCGGCACCATGTTCGGTTGCGGCTGCATTCTCTGCACTCATGCGCTCCTCTTCGTACCTCTTCCGGTACTTATTTCTCTCATCTCTGAGCCGTGATGCATGCGCTTCGAATTCCATCATGTCCTGTTGGTTCTGCATCATACCTTCGTAGTACTCAATTGCCTCTTTCTCCTCGGACCTTAATGACTTTTCAGTACGTTCAAGTTCCGCTCTAAGCTTGGTCATCATCTCACTCTCCACACTGGGTTCTGATCCCATGTCTGGCGGTTTCAGCTTCAGTGCGACCTTCAATTGTGCTTCACTTGCGCTTGATTCGATCAATTCTTCCTGAAGACGTTTCAGCATCCTCTCTTTACGTAGAATGTCCTCTTCCAACATGTTCACCTTGACTTCGGCCTTCTTGAGTTCGGCACTGGATGGTTGAAAATGTCGATCGGATCTTTGAATCCTCGTCTGAGTCAACTCCTCGTTCGCCTTCCTCAATTGCTCTCTGATGCTCAAGATGAACTTGTCCTGAGTATTAGATCGGTTGTTGAGCTCCTCATTCTCTTCTGATAACCATTTGATCTTGCTTGCATACATCGCTTCCCTCATCTTCATCTCTTCAGCATATTCGTGTTTGTTTCTGGCACTCTGCCTTTGTAGTCCAACCAACTCCTGTCTACACAGGTCCTTGACGTTCTCAGCATCTGCGATTGTAGTCATGACCTCGGTTACGGCTCGATCTCTTTCTGCCGATATAGCCTGGATCTCTTCCGTGCCGATGTTCACAACTTGACTAACCATCTCTGCGCTGTTGCGATCAGCGTACTCCCCTAACTGGGTGAGACGATCCCGCATTGCCACACGATCAGTGTCCATCTGATATTGCAGGTCGTGTGCTGCTGAGAGCAAACAGTCTCTGGACTCTGTAAGTTGGGTGATTCTTCGTTGATTTCCATATCCTTCGACATAACATTCTTCGAGGTGTGCCATCACTACTTCGTGGACTTCGGTCTCGTGTTGTATAATCTGGTTCTGTCTCTGCTCACATTCGACCATCCATGCGTTTTGGTGGTTCAACATATGCACTTCGGCAAGTAGTTGCGCACACTTCGCATTCAGGTCTCCATCGGCCCGTGCTAGTTGTAGGTTGTCAGTGCTTGCCCTTGCCCCATCTCCAGCTTCGCTGTCCGACGGCACTGGTACAGCTGACCCATCCTCCAATGCTAGCACTCTCACAGCTCCGGTGTCAGTCCTCCTCCTTGTCTCCCTAGGGCTACGGCCTGATCTCGGTGTCCCCCCCGGTGGTGTCGAGTGCGCTGACGGGGAACGACTTCGTGTTCTACCTGTCGCGTCTTCTCTCACCGCTGTCAGAGTCTCCGCCTCGATCGTACCTGGACTAGAGTTGTGGGATGCACTCATCCGATCTGCGGCCGCAGCAGCTGCTCCAAAAGATGCAGTGCTGGCGTCGGATTGGTCCATCTTCAGTGACTGAGGGTAACTGATCTATCCGATGCGTGTGCGTTTAGATGGTGTTGTGTAAGGCCGCAGC